AGATGAATCTTTGCAATAACTCTTATTAAATAAATATTCCTGAAGTAAAAATTCCACATTAAATTAAGGTTAGTTTTTTTAAATTCTTCGACTTTATTTAGAAATAGTTCATCTAATATAAAATAAAATACACATAAAAAATAAATTGTTAATTTTATAACCTTAATTATCAATTAGAAGTTAATTTGCATAGATATTTGTAAATAGTACTTTAAAATAAATTTTATGGATTATTAATTTCAAAATAAAAGTTTTGAATCGAAAGAGTTTAATTCTTTGAACTTACTATTAATCCTTATCTAATAGCTCTAAAAAAAAAAAATATATAATTATTTAAAACAAGATTGATTCAATATTTGGATCATTAAATTTGACTTTTTCAATATTAAATTTCCATGATAGTTGATTTATTAACTTCTTGTAGATTTTTTGGAAAAGTTTAATTAGTAAATTGAAAAAAATAGCCAGTTATTATTGATTTAGTTAAAATTATTGAAGCCATTAAATATATCATCAAAATTCATTTTCTAAAAAATTAATTGTTGATTAAAAGTTAACACACAATGATTATTTTAACTGAATCAATAATAAAAAAGATCAATAATTTTATTTAATAATAAAAAAATCTAATAGCATGATTATCACAGCACTAAGAATATTCATTGTAATACAGATCACAAATTGTGTCATTTAGGAATTATATTAAGACTTCAATAACAAATCAATAGATTTAACAAAAAGCAAATGGAATTGCAGAGACGCTGAAAATTTATCATCTATAAATATATATAATTGTTCTAATGGAATTGAGTTTGTTAAACTAATGAATAAATAATAATCATGTCATTTAATTCAATAGACTTTTTAAAATTTGACTCCTCATTTTCAGGTGTAAATTTATATTGATATATATCCCCATGGCAGTCTAGACAAAACTCATGACGATAATATATCAATTTATATAGATAATTAAAGAATCTTAAATTAATTCTATAACTCTTATGAAAACAATCCTTTAGGTAAGTCTTAATTATGTTAATTAATTAATGATGCTTATAATTATTAATTACGTATTACTTAATATATAGAGCTAACACATCAAAGTGATTAGTTAAACCTGACACTATCAAGTAATACAAATGAATAAACAGATAATGAATAATATTTATTCAGAAATGTGCAAATTTTTGTTAACAGATGCTTTAAAACATGCAAGACATGTGTGAATGATTAACTAGATGGTTGTACATCATGTTACAATTACTTAAAAGCAAATAATAATATTTGTGCTTCTTGTTTTCTAAGAGAAAATGAGAAATTTTTATTGATTCCTTAAGGTTGTGTTCCTGAATGTCCAGACGGTTATAGTTATGACTTTGATTATATTTGTTATTCGAATAATAGTAAATTTGGATTTAATTATAGGATTGAAGCTTTGTAACCAATATACAACATCATACAATCAAACAAATACAATTCAGAGTTGTAACTTAGAGTTATCAGCAATAGAATTACGTTTAAGATTTACATTAATGAATACTACAACGCATCCATTTTTGGTGAGTTTCGAAAACTCTATAGTTGCAAACATAAGTAATTCCATAATAATTCCTCAATCTTAAAGCTAGGCTTTTATATAAGAGCTCTAAAATAATTAAATTAGGATAGAAGTTTAAGCTCCAATCAGTTTAATTAAATAGAATATAAATATCAATTTTAATTAAAATATTTCAATTAAAGATGTAAAGATAGAGTATAAGATTTGCACAGAAGACTGCTAATAATGTAAGAATGATAGAAGTTGTTAAATTTGTAATTCAACAAGATATAATTTTGAGGGCAACTGTATTGAAATTTGTCCAAATTATACATAAACAATTAATAGAACTTGCTATAATTTTAATTCGACTTTTTATAGCTATGAAAATTTGAAAATACAATATGTTTTAAAAGAATTTTTTGATCTTTCTACCAGTAAAGATCGTATACAATAACTTTTTGAACTTGATTCATCAAACAATAGTATTATGAATGATTATAATTTTCAAAAAGGACAAGAAATTTTTTTTTCATATCTACCTAATAAACGAATATTTGGAGGTCCTTTTGTTTGGGTAAATGCTCGTTTTAAATTTAAACTTAAGTTGCCAAGTTTAAGATAAATAATTATAATTAAATTTGAACTTTTGTAAGGCGATTATAATTTAAGCAAAAGTCATTTTCATTATTAAATTGATAATTTGGAATAAAAAACAATAGTTCTATCTTAAAATAATAATAATATTGATGATTAAAATTGGAATTATACATACATGAGATAGAAAACTTTAATTAATTAATCTTTATTTTTTGAATAATCGAATAATAATGTTTTGTATATGGTTTTTCACTGTGACAACAACTATGCAAATAAAAATTAGAGTTTTTGTGCAATAGAAAACTTCTTTATTGTTTCGCTAACCTGTCAAGATTAATATTATTTAGACCTTTTTAATTATTATAAAGATGAAAACCCCTGTATTTCTTATTGTGGAGATGGATAGGTTTCACCAAATGAAGAAGAATGTGATGATGGTAATTTAGAACCTTTTGATGGATGTTTTAATTGTAGATTCTAATGTAATGAATAATGTACGATTTGTATTAAAGGTCTATGTCTTGAATGCAAATATGGATATTATTTAAATGAATTAAACAATATTTGTGAGACAGAATGTGGAGATTCTATAATTTAAGGACTTGAATAATGTGATGATGGTAATCAAGACAATTATGATGGTTGTTCTTAGTGTTAATATATTGACTTTTAAAAATGTGATTCAGAATAAGATTAATAATTGGATAAATGTTCAGTATGTTATTTTGGTATATGCATAAAATGTCTTGATGGATATTTATTAGATGATGGTATTTGTGTTTCATTTTGTGGAGATGGAATAGTAAATAAATAAATTGAAGAATGTGATAATCCAAATGAAATTGGTTGTATAAATTGTAAAATTTAAAATGGTTATGTTTGCACTTAAGTAGGTTAATCTATTTGTAAAACTTGTGGAGATTATTGTACTTTTTGTTAAACTTTAAAATCATTTGATGTTATTTGTAATTCTTGTTAAACTGGCTATTACCCTCTTAATGACTAATGTTATTAATGCGATTTTAACTGTATAACTTGTGAATAGTAATCTAACTTATGTACCTCTTGTTTTAGAGAGGATTGTTAAGCTTGTGAAACTATTCCTGGTCTTTTTGCAGATTTTAATACTAAAAAATGTATGTCTTAATGTGGAGATGGAATAGCTGTTCAAAATTATGAATAATGTGATGATGGGAATACCGAAAATGGAGATGGATGTGATCAATTTTGTCAGTTTGAATTCTTTGATTCTTAATTTCAAGAACTTTCTTAATGGTCCATCACTAAATAAAATACTTACGATCTTAAATTAATGAATAGTTCTTATTATAATCTTAGTTTACTCTGTAATACATCAGATATTTCGATTGATGGTTTCAAGATTGATGAATTCAGTTATAATTTGACAGCCATTAATGGCGTTTGTAGAATAGAATTCTAATTCTTAAAATCTATTTATACTTATAATACTATTCAAATAATCATTTTAATTGAAGTAAGCAATTCTAGAATATTAATTGAAAATGACTCACCAAAAATTACATATTAAATATCTCCAAATCAATAATTAATATATTCAGATTCTTAAATATAATAGGCACATTCAATTAAATTATTTTAATAGTAATTTAATTTAATTATCATTATTTTAATCCCCATCTCTATTATCACAAATTTGTTTGATTATTTATGGTCAGTTTTAGAAATATTGAGTTGGGTTAATAATTTTTATTTTTTCAATGTAAACTATCCTTTTAACGTTGAACTTGTATTTATAAATAGTGATTGGTCATCACTTATCAACTTTCCAACTTACTAAGAATTAAATTAACCTGATTGTGATTACTATTTTTAGGCTTCACAAAAATTTTAAAATAAGGGTATAGATCCCCTTTTTATTAATAATGCCTAAGTCCCTTTTATGTTTATTTTAACTGCTATTGCACTTTTTCTTATCAACAACATATTTTTAGTGTTTTTTAATTGTTTAAATGTTCTCTTTAGAAAATAATCAAAAATTAATAAGAGACATTTTAGTATTTTCGATTTGTAGGCTATCAAATAGTCAATTTAAATAAAGACTTAAATCCAATAAAAAAATATAGTTACTATTGAAAATAATAAAGTACTAGAAATCATTGTTAATAT